CGGGGGACGGGGGGGTGCTGGTGCTGGGGGGCAGGAGCTTAATGGCAAGCTGTGAAGTTGGGGAGGGTCCTTATTCAGCAGCTGCTTTCATGTCTTGATGAGCTTCTTATTAAGTCTGAAGTTCCATGAAATTTTAATAGGAATTTATAGACACGTAGCCGTATGCTAACGTAGCCAACGTAGCCCTGTGCTAACGTAGCCCTGTGCTAACGTACAGAATGATTGTAAAAGTATTTCTTCACGGCCACAGCTTCCTGCCGCTGCTGTGAAGGTTATTTCTCCCAGTCTACAGGCGGAACCTTATGTTGGGCCACATCTGTAGGTCCTGGAACTCCTGCTTCCTTTGTAGTGATGAAGGACGTCACTGGAAAAGAAGCAGCTTTTGGTGATAAGGTCATAAAAACGGAGGAATAAAAACGGAGGATTTTGAGAAACAACAGCATCAGCATCAACATCAACATCAGCAATAACAACAACAGCATCAGCATCAACATCAACATCAGCAATAACAACAACAACAACAGCATCAGCATCAACGTCAGCATCAGCATCGAATCTTTAATTTATCAAAGTCTGGTAAAAAACAGGCAGATGAAAGGCTGTGAAGCAGCTCAGGCAGCAGACGGGGGGGGGGTGATCTTTCATTTCAGTGGTGGATTATAATCCTCCGAGCGCTGACTTCACCCCCTCCTCCCCCCCCGCCCCCCCCACATCTTAAAACTCAGAGAGAGCACCATATAAGCAGCAGTTTAATGTCTGTCTGTGCTCGGCTCATTGGTCCTCCTTATTATGACATGTTTGTTGGTTGGACGGTGTGTGTGTGTGTGTATGTGTGTGTGTGTGTGTGTGTTAATAAAGTGTGAGGAGTGAAGCTGTAACATGCTCTGCCCGTCCCACTGTCACCCCCTGTGGGGAGAGAATGGAGAGACGCAAAAACACACAAAACCACAAGATTGTGTGTGTGTGTATGAAACACACACACTCTCACACACACACAGACACACACAGACGCACAGACACACACAGACGCTCACTCCCTGGTTCAATCTCCAAGGACCAATTGTGGAGAAAGCAGGTTAATTAGGCCGTTCACTGCAGCTCTTGTCCACAGAGGGGCGCTGCTCAGATGAACAGTGTCTTATTCTGTCGTTGTATTGATGTGGGCTGCGTCAGGAGCGGCCCACACGTGCAGCCTAATGAACCTGTACTCATACCACTGGGTGAAACCTCTACAAATACCAAGGTGGACGTGTGATACCAGGTGTGTTCCTGCTCCTGGTTGTGAGAATGTGCTGGTTCTGACTGAACAGAACCCGAGGACAGGAGTCAGACGGAGGACCTGGATTATCCTCAGTCCTGATCCTTTGACGCAGGAGGCTCAGCGCAGGAGCTGTAATCCTCTGCTCTCTGAGCTAATGCTAACGCAGCGCTGACACGGCACCGCGTGGCTCCGGTCCCCAGGCCGAGGATGGTTAACCCACAACGGTCCGTCCAGCAGGAGACACGTGGTCCAGAGACCAGGTCTTCTGTCAGTCCTGGATCTCAGTTCACGTGACGATAATGACCCCTGGTTCAGTGCAGGTGTTTGTCATCCTGGTGACCGGCGTTTGAGGCTGTGTGTAGGAGGAGCTGTAGGTGAGACGACGGGAGACCCCTACTGTCTGAAGTCGTGAACTGCAGTAAACAGCAGTCCAACGGCTGAATTATAGCTAACATCAGCAGCTGAAGTCTTAGAACTATTGCCAGCACACACACACACACACACACACACGCCTGCTACAGTAGAGAGTGGAGACGGTCGCCATGGCAACACTCCCCTCTGGTCTGTGGAGCTCCAGCAGCAGCAGCAGGTCCTGGGAGGACGGCCTGGCTCCGTCTCCGTCTCCGTCTGATGTTGTTGTCACTATCAGAGCCAGTTTTAGCCTCTGCTGTGTTTGTGCGGAGCTGACACTGCGCTGAGGTCTGTTAGCCTGAGGCTGTAAAATAATTACAGTCGGCGGAGGCTCCTCCTCCAGGACCAGGCAGCGTGAAATATATCTCAAACCACCAGCTGAAGTCTTAGAACTATTGCCACCACACACACACACACACACACACACGCCTGCTACAGTAGAGAGTGGAGACGGTCGCCATGGCAACACTCCCCTCTGGTCTGTGGAGCTCCAGCAGCAGCAGCAGGTCCTGGGAGGACGGCCTGGCTCCGTCTCCGTCTCCGTCTGATGTTGTTGTCACTATCAGAGCCAGTTTTAGCCTCTGCTGTGTTTGTGCGGAGCTGACACTGCGCTGAGGTCTGTTAGCCTGAGGCTGTAAAATAATTACAGTCGGCGGAGGCTCCTCCTCCAGGACCAGGCAGATGCATGTGTTTGAGGAGCAGAGGAGAACCTACCAGAAGGGTAGGTGTGTGTTATCACTGCACCGTCTGAAAATACCAAGAAGTAGCACAGTACGGTACAGTACGGTACGGTAGTTGTTGTTGTTGTAATGTTTGATGTAAACGAACACTATCAACAACGTTAGCTTCAACTTCAGCTAACCTTAGTTGAACTGATTCATTCTCTGGTCTGTAAACTGATTTACGTACAGTACGTTAACGTGCTGCTACTGTAAGGTCATGTGTGGCATCGACAGGTTCTTGTTGACACACACACTCCTACGTTTGATGCTAATATCAGCCTCATGTCGGTGATGTCACTGATTGACTCACTTTGATTAAACTGGGAGTTAATTAGTTCATATCATGAGTCATCAAAGGTTCGCCCTGACCCACATTTCTCTAAACTAGTCTGTCTGTGCTGGAGAAACCTCTGTGGATTAACACCCCTTGCCCCCCCCATGGACCCCCCCATGTGTTTTCTCTGTCACATATTTGAAGGTTTCTCCTCTTTAATCTAACCTGGACAGCCGTGTCCGTCCGTCCACACTGACGTCTCCTCTGTTTCCTGTCCCAGCTGACATTATCTCTACTGTGGAGTTCAACTCGTCGGGGGAGCTGTTGGCCACCGGGGATAAAGGAGGCCGAGTTGTTGTGTTCCAGAGAGAGCAGGAGGTAGGAAACACCATCGGTTCTACACCGCCTTCCTCTCCCGTCATTCTCACCTCATCAACTGTCACATGGTGTCTCCTCTCCAGAGTAAGAGCCAGCCCAACCGTCGAGGGGAGTACAATGTTTACAGCACATTTCAGAGCCACGAGCCAGAGTTTGACTACCTGAAGAGTTTGGAAATTGAGGAGAAGATTAACAAGATCAAATGGCTTCCTCAGCAGAACGCTGCCTACTTTCTGTTATCAACGAATGGTCA